GGAATGCACCTGCGAACAGGTTAGGGATTGCGTTTGGCTGGTAGTAAGAGCAGCCTGCAGTAGACTCAGTCCTACCCTGCCTAGTCTTACGTCCCGTGAGAGAAGTCTGCAGGTGACAAGGCGCGGCAGCTCCATGGGGTTATCGGGGAACTTGGCTTCCTAGCTTTCTGCTCTAGGTGACTGTGAGTGTCGTGCAGTCAACACGATTGGAGGTTTTCGTAATTAAAACCTGGAGAGCAGCTATACAGTGATACGTTTGGAGGTTAGTTCTGATCATGGCAGTTAGAAGTAGGTAATGGGGGTCGTGTGGGAGGAGCGAAGGAAGAGTGATGTGGTCAGCATTTTGGAATTCTGGCAGATATGTCTAAGTTGTCATTAAGGAAGAGGAGAGACCTGAAAGGGTGATTGTGAGGGTCCTAACAGAAGGAAAGTCCCCATCTCATCTCAGAACAACAGTGACAACAAACCAGAAAACAGATTCCTAAGTGGTTTTCCAGGAACTGTGTTCTGTACTCATAGGTTCAGGGCATGTTAGGATTGTGCGACTCTGAGAAACCCCCTGATATGTGGTATGTTGAAACAGCTAGTGTTTTGTTTTACCCAGTGGCTCCCAAACTTACTTACCACATTGTGTTTTATTTTGCTTTAAACAAAATGGCTTTACACTTCCTGAGAAAGTGTCTGAGGAGCACCATGCTGGTCTTCATGCCCCTCTCATTAGAAGGCCGCGCGTGTGCCTCCTGGATGCAAACATTGATCCCTGGTTTCCACTCAGTTCAGTTAGGATTCTTTCAGACACTGTAATACGTGTCTGATGTTAGCTAGTGCAGAACACGATTTTCACTCTGCAGGCTCAGGCTGCTTAATAAACATTGCCCTGTAGATAATAGAATAAACTCAGGTTGAGGGACTCATTTCCATAACTTAGCTGCGTTCTTTTGAATGGCCTTTTAGTCTGGTGAGAACACTTAGCACTATATTCAAAAACATTTGAATATCCTGAGAAATTTAATCAGATGATGGCCTGATCTCACATCCTTAAGATTTTAGTATTAAAGTTATAGATTTGCTGTGTAACTATATTTAATCGATGGCTTATTGATCATGATTGCTTTTATCTTTGAAGAAAATCTTAATGTTTTCCAAAAAGAAGATTTTTTTTCCTATAGATTTTGAGGTTGTTGCCAAAAAGATCTTTAAGGCATAGGTTGAAAGTTGCTTCTTGAATTAGAGAATATAATACAGTCGCTCTGTAAGCATGGTAGATTCATTCTGGTGCTTGATGGACAATGCGATCAGTGACTATTCTCTGTAGATTTCTCTGATATGAATTTACTTAAGGAGGCCTGATCGTAAAGAAACAAGTTAAATTTATAAAATCGAAAGCAAAAAAAAATCTTAAATAAGTTGGCATGGAGGTTAAGGCAGCTGGATCCCAAGTAGCCGATGACATGATCCGAGTCCTGGACCCAAAGGCTTGAGAATCACACCAGATGTGTATGTGCGTGCATGTCCGAAATCTGGAGAGGAGAATGGAGGAGGAGGGATTGCAGCATGGCCATCCCCTCTGGGGGTGATTTCTCACTTTCCCCCTCTCTCTGGAAAGCGCGAGGACTCTATAGCAAACTAAAACAGCAACAGCAACAACAGAAAACAAAGAATGCCCTTTCCTGCAGTGGTGCTTCCACGGTACCTGGTGATGTGCTGAGCTCATAATCCAGAACGGACGTTGAATCAATAGGTTCTTAAAGATCCCTTAGGTTCCTCACACACGGAACGCAATTTGAATTTAGTTAGTAATTTCAGTGACCAAGGAAAGTAACAAGGATGAAGACAGTTTCATTGTCCAGATCTTTGAATAACTACTTTCTTTCCAGTTGTTAATAAGAACATGAAACCAAATTTAACAAAATACCCTAATTTTACTTCTTGGGAAATGATTTATGTATTGATTAAAGGTTCATGTGGACTGACAGTTATTTTCAGTTTTGTCTTTGTCTCTGTCTCAACCTTTGTTAGTAAGGTTATTTCTAAAGTAAACTAGCAAATCATTGCCTTTTAGATATTTCTTTATTCATGATGATAGAGCCTGTAGCACATACGTAAGAGCGAGAGGAAAAGGCTAGCACCCGGCCACACCGTGGTCCCTTTCCTCCAGTCCTCCAGCCTCTTGCATCCTGGGCATTCATGTTTGTGCCCAGGACTGACCGAGCCAGGGATTCGAACCTGGGTCAAAGACTTCTTTTGAGCAGTGCAGTACTGCCGTGCCAAAGAGCCAGCAAATCATTGCCTTCCGATAGGATACTGTAAAGCAGTGGTGATCATACTGGACCTTCTTATTATTTGATACGACGTTCACAGGAATGGTGAATAACTTGAAGAAGTTTTGGTGGTGGTTGTTCTGGGTATGTCCAGAAAATTTGGGGCTTAAAATAAATCTATCTGTATGTGATAGCATCTGATTAACCATTTTTTTCCCCCAAAGCCTTTGTTTTGGAGAAAAAAGAACCATTTCATTATAGATTCATTATAGGTTGTATTTTGTGAACACAAAATAAAGGTACCAGCAGTTTCAGCCATTTTTAAATTGGAAATGTTACATGCAGATTTTCTAATAACTTCTCAAACTAATTGATATTTTTGTCTTACAGACTCTTTCATTCACTAATGGTTTTGGAGAAGATCATTGGAGATTCTGCATTTCTTCTTATTTTGAAGGACAAAAACGCGTACAGCTCTTACAGCACTCAGTCTTCCGAAAGCTTCCTGAAGATGGTGAGTTATCTCTTCCATATTCATCCTAAAAATATGTGATTCTTTTGTTCTTGGATTACGAAAGGAGAAGCTTAATGAAAAGAGACATGGAAAAAGAATGGTTTCTTTGTATGTTATTTGAAAGAATTTGTTTTACTTTATATAAATTAGCTGTAACTTCTTTCCTATGAGTGTGTCTGTATTTGATTTCTGAGGTGTATTTTGTTCTAATTAAATTTAGGCATGTCATACGAAACAATGAACATATTCCAGGGTATGGCAAATATATGAGCTTGTAGCATACTCTTAAGATCATATTGTAAGGCAGTTGGACATAAGGAGTAATTGTTGTGCTTGGCTGTAATTAACAGCCCTCTGATATTTAAATTTTTCTGAGTCCTTGGTCTGTTGCTGCTACACTTGAATTTGAAGGGTCTTCTGGACTCAGACTAGTCTGGGGAGAGCCATGGCAGTGCAGGGTGTGTGCGGGCAATACGGTGTTCCGCCCGACACCTGGCTGTGGGCCGTGAACACTGACCGACCAGTGTGAGCCCTCACTCCCTCTGTACAGTGGAGGAGGTGTCAGGCTTGCCGTGGCTGTCATTAGGGTGAGCAGGCCAGTGAAGCAAAGCCTTCTGAAAGGCAGAGTATGCCATCCTGCTGCAAGGAAGACTGTGGAGAAAATGGGGATTGCACCCCATATGCATTTCCACTGAGCAGCTCAGATATTTTAGAATTTAAAATGAGACGCTTTCATGAATGATGAGCTGTGGAATTTTATGTGTAATTTGAATTTATGCATCTGCAGTGAGGTACTGCCTTGATATTTTAATACACTGATGCTTGTAAACAAGTCATGACTGTACATTTTCATATCAGAGTAAGCAATACAAGAAATGGACATTCTTGTTTGTTACTGAAGGTTTCTTGCATAGGGCGCATGCACCTGCCGGGAGAGATAGTGACAGGGAAAGTGAGAAATCGCCCCCAGGGGATGGCCATGTATCTCAGTCCCTTTTCTTTCATTCTCCTCTTGGGATTTTGGGCATGCATTCACACATGCACATGCACCCGGTGTGACATTCAAGCTGCCAGGTCTGGGACTTGAGCTGCGATGGGCCACCAGTTGTTAATAAGAACATGAAACCAAATTTAACAAAATACCCTAATTTTACTTCTTGGGAAATGATTTATGTATTGATTAAAGGTTCATGTGGACTGACAGTTATTTTCAGTTTTGTCTTTGTCTCTGTCTCAACCTTTGTTAGTAAGGTTATTTCTAAAGTAAACTAGCAAATCATTGCCTTTTAGATATTTCTTTATTCATGATGATAGAGCCTGTAGCACATACGTAAGAGCGAGAGGAAAAGGCTAGCACCCGGCCACACCGTGGTCCCTTTCCTCCAGTCCTCCAGCCTCTTGCATCCTGGGCATTCATGTTTGTGCCCAGGACTGACCGAGCCAGGGATTCGAACCTGGGTCAAAGACTTCTTTTGAGCAGTGCAGTACTGCCGTGCCAAAGAGCCAGCAAATCATTGCCTTCCGATAGGATACTGTAAAGCAGTGGTGATCATACTGGACCTTCTTATTATTTGATACGACGTTCACAGGAATGGTGAATAACTTGAAGAAGTTTTGGTGGTGGTTGTTCTGGGTATGTCCAGAAAATTTGGGGCTTAAAATAAATCTATCTGTATGTGATAGCATCTGATTAACCATTTTTTTCCCCCAAAGCCTTTGTTTTGGAGAAAAAAGAACCATTTCATTATAGATTCATTATAGGTTGTATTTTGTGAACACAAAATAAAGGTACCAGCAGTTTCAGCCATTTTTAAATTGGAAATGTTACATGCAGATTTTCTAATAACTTCTCAAACTAATTGATATTTTTGTCTTACAGACTCTTTCATTCACTAATGGTTTTGGAGAAGATCATTGGAGATTCTGCATTTCTTCTTATTTTGAAGGACAAAAACGCGTACAGCTCTTACAGCACTCAGTCTTCCGAAAGCTTCCTGAAGATGGTGAGTTATCTCTTCCATATTCATCCTAAAAATATGTGATTCTTTTGTTCTTGGATTACGAAAGGAGAAGCTTAATGAAAAGAGACATGGAAAAAGAATGGTTTCTTTGTATGTTATTTGAAAGAATTTGTTTTACTTTATATAAATTAGCTGTAACTTCTTTCCTATGAGTGTGTCTGTATTTGATTTCTGAGGTGTATTTTGTTCTAATTAAATTTAGGCATGTCATACGAAACAATGAACATATTCCAGGGTATGGCAAATATATGAGCTTGTAGCATACTCTTAAGATCATATTGTAAGGCAGTTGGACATAAGGAGTAATTGTTGTGCTTGGCTGTAATTAACAGCCCTCTGATATTTAAATTTTTCTGAGTCCTTGGTCTGTTGCTGCTACACTTGAATTTGAAGGGTCTTCTGGACTCAGACTAGTCTGGGGAGAGCCATGGCAGTGCAGGGTGTGTGCGGGCAATACGGTGTTCCGCCCGACACCTGGCTGTGGGCCGTGAACACTGACCGACCAGTGTGAGCCCTCACTCCCTCTGTACAGTGGAGGAGGTGTCAGGCTTGCCGTGGCTGTCATTAGGGTGAGCAGGCCAGTGAAGCAAAGCCTTCTGAAAGGCAGAGTATGCCATCCTGCTGCAAGGAAGACTGTGGAGAAAATGGGGATTGCACCCCATATGCATTTCCACTGAGCAGCTCAGATATTTTAGAATTTAAAATGAGACGCTTTCATGAATGATGAGCTGTGGAATTTTATGTGTAATTTGAATTTATGCATCTGCAGTGAGGTACTGCCTTGATATTTTAATACACTGATGCTTGTAAACAAGTCATGACTGTACATTTTCATATCAGAGTAAGCAATACAAGAAATGGACATTCTTGTTTGTTACTGAAGGTTTCTTGCATAGGGCGCATGCACCTGCCGGGAGAGATAGTGACAGGGAAAGTGAGAAATCGCCCCCAGGGGATGGCCATGTATCTCAGTCCCTTTTCTTTCATTCTCCTCTTGGGATTTTGGGCATGCATTCACACATGCACATGCACCCGGTGTGACATTCAAGCTGCCAGGTCTGGGACTTGAGCTGCGATGGGCCATGTGGGAATCCAGCATTGTAACCTCCACACCACCCACTGGCTGTGTCCCACAAATGTCTTACCTCTATTTCTGTGGAATTGTCTCTAGAACCCAGATTGTTAGGTTTCTAAATAGAACAACTCATTATGGACTCTGTCCCTAGTAAGATACGTTGTCCTTGAGATCTCAACACACACACACGCACACACACACGCACACACAAGGATTATTTGTTTTGAATCTTGATAGATTTTATATAGCTGGGAAGAGGATTATTTTTCCTATCATGCCTTTTCCAGGATGTTTGCAAGATACTATTCCAGAGCTTATTGTGAAACTTACATATTAAAAGTAAAGTAAAACTTGTTATTCATTTTTATAGGATTTGAAACAAAAATCACAAGATTCTCTGCCACAGAAAAATGTATTAAGTCTGAGTGCGGAGCCAAGGTAAATTTATAATTTCTCATAAAACTTTACTGTTTCTTTGGCATAACTTTTTTGGTTTTCATTATTCTGGTCTCTAGCCAGCATATATTTTGAGATAATGTTTTATATAGTCAGTTTATTAATTTTGAAAAGTGTTCTGAGGAGGGAGATATTCTTCCATGATCATGGCATGTCTAGTTCTAATGGCTTGGTACATCGATTGCTGAATAAGCTTTTGCAACAATTCATATTTCTCCCAGGTGGAAGGGACGAGATGGCAAATATGCAGCTTTTGATAAAGATTCTCTGTGTCTTAGTAATTTGATTAGATTCAGAGTGTCTCCTTTCATGACTAAACTTTTACTTAGTTACCTTGTTTTCATTAATGTCTGTTTCTACTTTTTAACGAAAGAAGAACTGTAATTATTAGTAGAAGATCAAGGTTCTGACTGTGAACTGTTCACTAGGTAACTGTCATTTTGCTGGTGAAACCATCTTGTTTTAGTGCTATTGACTGATGCTAAAGTAAGTGGGAAGGGTGTTCAGTGACCTAAAACCAGGACATTTAATTGGTTGCTCCCTTTGATTTACAAAGGAATGTTTTATGTTTTCACTGATAATTCTTTAACCTTCAAGGTATCTGTTTTTAAAGACCACATATCTGTAACTGTTGCCTGCTGCACTCAGACATGCAGTGTAGTTTTGCCGTTTACCTTTTTATTGTTTTAAGAAATTTGGTGTTTACTTTTTACAATTGTAGGATAAATAATGTGAAAATTAACGGTTCTAGCTAAGTATACTTTATGAAAATGATTAACAGCAAATGGAATCAAAGTCTTATAGGATATTTGCAGTTGCTAGTGAAGTTGAGATTTTGGTTAAGCATAGGCTAACGCTTTCATTATCTAAATTTCTTCAGTAAGTCTTGACTTAACCCATATATAGAAAACCAGACAAATATTTTTTAGTAATATTTCAGTTCTCAGTAATGTTGCTGAAGTCTTAAGAGCATTCAGGTGGCCGGGTTATAGATAGGGTAAGAGGATAATGACCCTGAGCATCGAGTACAAAAGCATCAAATGTTGTCTTTGTCTGAAAATGAGTAATGTTTTGCTGCTTTGGGGTTACATGCCTGGTCCTTAAGTGTCGTGTTCGGAGGACTGTGGACATTAGTGAGTCTGTTCGGCTTCAGGCGTACGCCTCGCCTACACCTTTCTCTTCCTGTGTATTTTGGTGTCAGGGAGGAGCTCTTTAGGTTTGTGGATGACAAGAATCATACATGCTTGCTGTAAGTGACTCCTCTTTGTCCCCATAGTAGCCCCCTGTGGGGGCATGTGAGGGAAGGATGAGGCCGGACTGGACCACAGTAGGTCCGGGGGAAGGATGTCCCCTTTGGTCTCCTTCCCTCTCTGCTGCCCCGGCCTTCACAAGCAGCACTCGATCATTTGCCTTGTTTGCGCCAGAGCAGGAGAGGTAGGAGGTACAGGTGTATTAATGAAAGTAAATACTCTTTGAGTTTTAATAGTGAAGAGTTTTAATTATTGATAAACATAAATGAATTTTTGGGGCTATTAGTAAAATGATTGTTTTTTGATATTTTTTAAATTTTTTTTTTAGGTTTTTGCCATAGGGCACATGTGCTTGCCAGAGAGAAACAGAGAGAGAGAGGGAAAGTGAGAAATCCCCCACCCACCCAGCCCTACCCCAGGGGATGGCCATGCTGCAGTCCTTTCTCCTTCATTCTGTCTGCTGTTGGGATTTTGGGCACACATGCACACACGCCCGCATGATTTTTAAGCCACCATGTCTAGGGCTCAAACTGCAGGCAGCCACATGGGAGTCCAGTGCCTTATCCACCACGCCACCTGTTGGCCCCCGATACTTCTTCTTAAATAGTTTATATTTAAATAGAATTCTTCATCTTACTATTTTTTTCACATTTCTTTTCTGTCAGATGTCCATGCTGTTATCCCCATAGTTCAGTAAACTGGGAATACTTCTGATCGTCAGATTCTAATTTTTATGTTTATTATCCCATTTTGCACTTTAGAACTGCATGGATAGTACTCCTTGTATTTTTGGCTTTAAGATCTATGTTTTACTAGGTAGCTACAAATTATCTTAGTTACTGATCTCACAGGAAAATCAGTGAAGGGTGAAAGAATGATAGTGGCCTTTAAAGCTACTTAGCAGGTACTGAAAGTTAAATAATTGTACTTCTCAGCCATTAAGTTGGAAGTTTGAGACGTATGACTGCCTCTTTCCCATGTTCCTTGTGAGTCTTCTATAATGCTGTTGGGCTTAGCTTTATTTTAATTAGAAGCATCGTTCCTATTTGAATAATACATTATTAATGTAAATAAACCACACATTTTCAGTGGGAGAGGAATCTTCCTCAGGAGGATGAAAATTGGTTCTTGAGGGATTTGAAAAAACTCTTACTCTTTTTACTATGTTAAGCACAGACAGTCCATGAGAGATAACCAGTCCGTATGTGGCATCAGGCCAGCTGCAGAGCCATTGCTCGGACTCTGCCGTTCTGTAGCCTGGAACCACATAGAGTCTTGGGTTTGATTCCCTGTTCAGCCTAAAGTTCAATCATTTAGGTAGAAATAACCCTAACCTCCCTGTGCTGTTACCCAGCAGCAGAGGGAGGCGGAGGCAGGAGAACCATGAGCTCCCGGATGGCTTGGGCAACATGGCGAGACCCTGTCTGAAAGAGCTGGGCCTGGTGTGTGTGTTTATGGTCCCAGCTACAGAGGCCAAGGCAAGAGGATGGTGACATGGTGAGACCCTTTCTTCAAACAAATAAGAAAAAAATAAAATTGGATGGAGATGATCAGGAAATGAATGTCTTAAGAGTTCTTTTAGAGAGATGATAATGTAGGACCAGCAGATGGTAGTTATGTTGCTGGACTCCTACATAGTCAACTGTGGTTCAAGTCCTGGACCCAGTGGTTTAACACTCATGCCAGGCATGTATGTATGCATGCCCAAAATCTCAAGAGGAGAATGGGGAAGAAAGGATTGTGGTATGGCCATCCCCACTAGGAGGTGATTTTTTGCCTCTCTGTTGAGTGCATGTGCCCTGTAGCAAAAATCTCTCTGTCTCTCAAAAAAAAAAATGCAACAATGCAAAACAGTGGAGAAATATAGACCTCAACCCATAGATTTGAAACAACACATGTAAGTGAATATGGTCCTACCATCAGCTGTTCATAATATGCTGACAGTGACATTAGGACAGCTTGAGGTGCCTCATTGGACTGTCGGAATAGTGTGTGAATTTAGTTTCTGTGTAGATAACAGGTACAATAAGAGTTAAAGCTAGGTCACCCTGAACAAGTCATGAATTGTCTAGCCATAAATAATCCTGGCATGTACAAATGTTTCTGTTTCTCAGTATTTATAATTTCCTCAGGAAACTAATTGTAAAGAAACATAATGTGAAGACTTGCAAGTGTGTGACTCAGGAGGTACTGATGATGCAAGATAAAAGGCAGAAGCAAGCGAAAATAATTCCTCCTTTCCATGTTCAGTCTTTTCAGGGAGGATAGGAAGAAACTTTGCCATAGCACAAGCCGGGAAGCCCCGTGATTTGACAAGTTGTAAAGGAACTGCCTTTTTTTTTTTTTTAAGGTGCATTATTTGAAATAACCTGTAAATTTATTTATTTATTTATTTTCTGTAGGGCATGTGCACTCACCGGAGAGAAAGAGAAAGAGGGAAAGTGAGAAATCACACCCCAGGGCGCATGGTCACACCACAGTTCCTTCTCCTCCAGTCTCCTTTCGGGGTTTTGGCATTCACGCTCATGTCCTGTGTGATTTCCAAGCCTCTGTGTCCAAGACTCGGACTACACAGTTGACCACGTGTGATTCAACACCCTAACCTCCGCGCCACTGGCAGACCCTGAAAGTTCAATATTTTAAGTAGAAATAACCCTAACCTCACTGTTATAAAATTGTTACAGATTTACTTTTAAGTGCTTTTGCTTCTTAGCAGACTATTTTCTTTTTCTTTTTTTGGAGAGATTTTTGCTACAGGGCACGTGTGCTCATCAGAAAGACAGAGAGAGACAGAGAGACAGAAAGTGAGAAATCCACCCCAGGGGGAAGGGCCATGCCGCAGTCCCTTTTCCTCCATTCTCCTCTATTCTCCTCTTGGGATCTTGGGAATGCATGCACAGGCGCCCAGCATGAGTTTAAGCCACTGGGTCCGGGACTCGAACCGCTGTCGACTATGTGGGAGTCTAGCAACATAGCCATTATGCCCA